GGGGGGTTGTGACAGGCAGGCGATGATCCAAGACATCATTAAGCACGGCCATCTCCAGCGCCATGGCAACAGGCTGAGTGAGGAGAGCACATCAAAACAATGATAGGCGGGCAGGGCAGGGCTGATTGGTGGAGGGATGGGGGGGCGGGGGTTCAACAATCACCCCTGATCGATGGGTGGGGGGAGGGTCAATGGTAAGGAGTGTGCGGGTTTGGTTTTGAGTCCAATGGCACTACTGATGTCATGGAAGGCTTGTAAGGCCACCGGATGAAGAAAACAATGCCCTGAGAAGAAAGGTTGTTTATGAATTATGCATCCAGATACAATCATAAACGAATAATGCTCTCCATGGAAAAAAAGTTGTACTATGACAAGAATATAAATTCATGGAAAATATCTATTGGAGAGACGAAAAAAATCATTGCAACAAAGTCAATTTTTCACGAGTTGTTTTACTTTAAGAAAAAAGCCTTCCATGCTTAAAGTCTTCAAGAAAAACTCACCCACGCCCCCGAACCGCCCCCACCCACCAAAAAAATTCACATCATGGGGAAAAGTTTTACTTTGTGAACAAATAGTGATGTTTAAAAACGGTCATACTTCATGAAAAAAGGCATTCGTTGAAAAAAAAAAAGTCGTAATCTCTCAAAAAGTCAAATTTATCGGAAAATGTATCTCAAGAAAAACAAAAGCCATGTTTACTTCAATAATTCTAGGGGTGTAACAACAAAAAAAAAGGTTTGAAATGGAAAATCGTTTTCTGCTACCAAAGATTCCAGTGCGGACCGTCTTTAATTGGAGCAATCGATCTTGAAGGAAATGGCACGTTTTTATTTGTGCTAAATTGACTCAAACGTTTGTAAAACGACATTCCAACATGCCCTCTCAAACTGAGTGGTACCACAATCGAATCGAATTGTCACCCCACGAGTCGAATCGTCGACAGAGGAGAGATGCACGCCCCCGAAATAACACGTCAGAGTTCTCCCAAACAACAAGTCAATGGGCAAAAAGTTGCAATCCCATGAGAATTGCCTTGTATTCTTGTCTCGTTGCATTTTTCGTCAGCGTGGCGAGCCTCCTGCTCAAAGGCGGCGCTGGCGCTAACGCTAACCGGCGCCGGTTGACAAAGACGGTTGCACAAGTCGCGCAAAGGAGACGCCCGGAGGCTTCCGAGTGGCTCATCGATGCCTTGAAAGCAATCTTGTCAGGACATCTTCGCCCGGGCAGGTGTCGGGACGCCGAGGCGACGACGCGCGCCTGACTTAAGCGCTCCCCGCCGCGTCAATAAGGATTACGCCCGGCTGCCTTTTATCTCGGCAAACACGCTCGCTCGCCCTTTGCTTCCTTTCCCGCAGGAACAATCCACGTCTTTCTGTCTAACTGCCGGCTAAATCAGAAAGAAGGGGGGGAAAAAAATCTCCACAGGAATTTCATAAATGCATCCCAATCCCGAAAGATCCAATCTGCTCTTTTCTACTGGATCCGAGCAAGGCAAATCGTTGGCTGTCAAAACACACCGTGCACCTTTTGTTACCATCTTTAAGTACAACGCGCGCACGCGCACGCACGCAGAGTGTATGCAAAGCAGCACACAAAAGAGAAATCCAAATGCATCCCGAAAAAGATGAGCGCCAAAGAATAAGAAAGGAGTGAAAAGGCACAGTCAGCATCTTCCGATCACGCCGCGTCATCAAGAAAAAAAATCCAAACGTGAAGAAGGAAAACATTTGAGGATGAGAACTTCATATTTTGTCAAGACACATATAAAAAGTAAAAAAAAAAAAACAACTAATAATCTCATGAGAATAAAGAACAAAATCATCCATATACAACAGCCTCTGGCATGTTAGAAAAAAGTAGCATCGGTCGTTTTTTTTTAAAAAAACAAATTGGAGACAAATTTCTCCAAGAAAAAAAAAACTAAAAATTGTCAAATAACTGTCGGCCTCTTATGAGAATGGGCTTCATCCAGAAAATGGAGAAATTTCATCCTCACCGAAAAAAAACAAAAAAAAAAAAACAAGTCATACTGATCCTAAAAATAACCGGCAATCTTTCAAGAATAATATCAGAATCTCATGAGGGAAATCTCCCAGCTTTTTAAGAGTAGAACCGATCCAGAAAAAGGGGACAAAAAACCCTGATGAGACTATCATCAGAATAACATCAGAATCGTACGAGAACAACATCGAGATCTTCAGAGGAAAACATCACTTTTTCAAGAAGAAAAAAAGTTGGACTGATCCAAGTCACAATGCACCGTGCGTAGCAGCGCCACTGGACACTTGAAGGGAAAAAAAAAAAAAAAAAACATGAGCAAGCGCACGCCAAAGAGGGAAGCAGGCAATCACGTCACAAATACGCTTTTAGATTTGACTTGAGAATATAAATTCATTCATTCATCTTAAATCATAGTGAGGTGGTATGACTCACTGTCAACAAATCTTCTGTATAAAAATCAAGTTGTCATTTAAAATGTATTCTTATTCATAGTTGTCTATTTGGTTAAATTATTTATCGTATTTTTGTATTACAACACGAAATTACATTTATTTTAGTCCTTATGATCAAGCCGCGAGTCACAACATTGCTTTTAATGCTTGTTTTTCTATTAACACTGTGGTAGTGCAATTCAGAATGTCAATTTTGAAAATCATTTATACATACAAATAAAAATGTTACAATCATTGCTAGATTGTGCTTGTATTTTTATTTTTTAACACAAACCTGACTCTTATTTTATGAGGACTACTGCGAGAGTACAGTGATCCCTCACTACTTTGCGGTTCGTTTATCACGGATTTTTTCAAACATAAAAAAAAAATGCTTTTTGAATTTATTATAAAAAAAAAAAATTTTAACCGATTTATGTTAATTGGTCGCTACTTGGCGGATTTTCTTTTATCGCGGGTGGTTTTGGTCCCCATTAACCGCGACAAATGAGGGATGACTGTACATTTCAAAGTGAAATTATTTTTTCCACATTCATATTTGGGATTACTTCTATTATTGCTACGTGATATACTCCGACGTTATTTTGTATTTACATTTCAACATTTTTCATTTGAAGGAAACACTACTCTTGTGGCGAGTGCGCAAACGCAAATCTTCCCTGTCTGCAATGCATTCGGCGGCCAAAAGAGGGAGCCAGAGTTGCTCTTCAGCGGACGTCACGCCCAGCTTGATCCCATGTGATGGCGGCTCACAACGCAAGCACCACACAAGCATCTTAAGAAACATCTTTAATGAAAAATATGTAGCAGCATTTCATCCCCCCCCCCCAAAAAACAAAAAACAAAAAAAAAAAAAACAGTCCCAAAGACATTTTGGGGCGGTGGTTACGTTCAGGGTGGGAAGCTAAAAGTTCTTGTTAAATACAATCAAAATAATCGACTCGCTCACGTCAAGGGTCAGGATAGTGGGGCTTGAGGGTGACCTCCCACTCTCTCTGTTGCGACTTGCTGATGTCACACAGACAACCCAAAGCCCATCGTCCAGCTTTTTGCTTCTGAAGCATGACCTGCTCAGCTACTTTGTGAGCCAAGTGAATATGGTCCCCCCTGTATATTTCTCACACACACACACACACACACACACACACACACACACACACACACACACACACACACACACACACACACACACACACACACACACACACACACACACGATGCAAAGCCCGTCTGTGTAGCAGCACGGAGTCTTCCAGACTCCAGGAACAGTCCGTTGGCCCGGCCTGGCCTTTTTTTTTTTTGTTTTCTTAAAAGACGCTTGCATTAAATAAAAGATGTCCTGTGACTGGCAGTTGAGGATAAAACACCCGCCAAAAAACACAAAAAATGTGGCAGCCTGTCCCAAAAGATTCCTTAAAAAGGAGAAATTACATTCTCCCCAATCCCCGCAAAAAATAGATTCTATGGGGCCAGCGTCCATTCGGCCGCACGCATCCTGGGGGGCACTTGTAGCGCGGCGGTGGCCGCTTTGGGGTGTTCGTCCGTCTTCTCGATGCTAAGAGGCGGCGTGAGGACGCCGGACGGTACCTGACAGCCGCGATGAGGCTCCAAGTCCGCGTCCTGGTAAGACGCCGCCTTCTCCTGAGCCGCAACAGGACACGGGGCGCGTCAACCGAGGTATCACCCACACGCCGAACAGAAGCCGATTCTTACGAATTTACCGGATCAGCTGTGCTGTTTTTTTTGGGGGGGTTTTTTGTTTATGCATTTTCAATGTTAATATTTGTACTACTTATTTTTTTCTCATTTAAAAGATCACGTATCCACGACTGATGGATGCGTAGGTAGGCTTATACTTCATAATGATGATACTTTCTTACTGCTGTGGTCATCCATATATGACGTGAGCATAGCACGATGGCATTTTATTCATGTGTGGAAGACTTGCTACTACATGCTGCTGCTGCTGCTGCCAACGCATGTACATCAGGCATGAGCCGACAGATTCTGATGCTATAATAACTGAGCAAAACTATTGCGGGATCACAATATTAAAACTAAATTTCAAAATGCTTTTTTTTTTCAGGATTAGGGTAAACTAAAATAGCATTTTTCCCCATTGAGCACAATCTTATTTTTCAGCAGAATATTTGCTCCAGGAGAATCGTGCACCATGTGAAGTTTGAAGAAATAAATGTTCATCTTCTTGTTTTAATTCTTAGTAAGTCACAGTGTCCAATCACAAGTGAGCTATTTTCACAACAGACCCCACGGGCTACTCATGTTGTCCGAAGGGCACTAAGTAGTACTCCCCGGCACAATTATAAAACTTTTTTTTTTTTTTTTTGCAAGCAACCAATGGCGTTGTGTCCCCTTACCCTGACCGGTGATGGGCTGTATGAGCGGTTACTGAAGCGCTGACTTTTTAAAACAAAACTAGACTCTCAAAATGCTAAATCGGACCATGCCTAATGCACAGTCGTTCATATTGCTGGTGTTTATTTGACACAGCGCTTATATTTGCAGCAGATGTACGGGCTGCTCTTAATGGCACATGAAAATCACTACTGACTATTTCTGGCGTTGATAGACGCGTGCAGTCGGCTTGCTATTTACGCTGCCGATCCTACAGAGCGGTCCGCTTGAGTGGAGGCGGACTTACCAGCCACGTCAGGTAGGGGGCATGCGTCTGGATGTTGTGCACGTCTTCGGCAGCCACGCCGGAGAAGGTCTTCATGGGCGAGCCGCCCGACTCGCGCAGCGCCACGGCGAACGGCACCATCCACCGCACGCATTCCTCCAGCTCCGCCCTTTTTAACGCTATACAAAACCAAAGGGTGGCGGTTAGCGAGGGAGCGGGGCGACGATGAGGTCGCTTCGACGTACCCGACACGTTCTCGACCAGCTCCAGGGACGAGAAGTGGAAGAGGGCCGAGGCGGCCAAGACGCCGTTGGAGAATTCCAGGCAGCGCATGTCGAGCATGCACACATCCAGGAGCTGCACATGCAAAAAATGCACACACACACACAAAAAGTTATCTATCAAAATAGGATGAAGACACTTGGACACGCTTTTGAAGTCGGGATGCTCCGATCGAGCGGAGGCCGATCATCATCGGTCGATATTCAACTCCGCCTTTTAAAGCCAAATGAAATTTCTTTCCATTTGGTCATTCGGTTTGATTCCAAGTGGGATATGGCTCTATGTAAACACGAGTCGTCATGATCTTTGTGTTTAATCTGTATAGGAGATTTGCAAACAGCTGTTTTCACTTGGGGAACTGGGGGGGGGAGATAACATCCCCCCTATTTTCGGGCATGTTACTGACCAACATCGTGACTCAATGATAAAGTGTGCCTTTTCTGCAACGTCTATTAAAAGCAATGTTTTTAAATAATAAAGGGATAGAAATTTAACAAATGTTTTTTTTTTTTTTTAATCGGTTT